GTGAGCCTGGATTCTGCAATGGAGCTGGAGGGGGTGAGCATCTGTCAGAACTACAGTGATAGCGGAGGGTTCGACCTTTCTCTGGGAATCCGTGTGCTTCAGGAAAATCTCCTGTTCCTTCCTGCATGGTTGTAGAACTTCCTACATCCAGCTGCTTTTACTTCGCAGGAATCTAGTAGAGCGGAGGGACAAAGGCCAGGCAGGCAGGGCTGCCATATTTCCAAACTGCCACAAGATGGGAGTATTTTAAAAGTTTACTCTGATTTTCTGATGGTTAGTCTTGTGGGTCATAAAGTGATAGGACCTCAGTGTCCCGATGCAGTTGGACATTGGGACTCAGAAGAGCAGACAGACATCATCCTGTCTTTGTTGTCAGAAATACGATTGGCATGAGAATGCTGCAGGAAATGGATACAAAAGTGGGAGAATTAATAGCCGTCCATTTGTAGTAGTAGTAGTGTGTGTGTGTGTGTGTGTGTGTGTGTGTGTGTGTGTGTGTCCTGGGAATTGAACCCAGGGCCTTATGCTTGCTAAGCATGCCCTCTACCACTGAGCCACACCCCAGCTCAGGGTGCTATGTGCAGCACTTGAATAGAAGTTTATAATGGAAAATGGGAAAAAAAAATAGTGGAACATTCAACTTGCTTTTGGTTTTGTTTTTTTCTTGAGGATAGGGATTGAATCTGGGACCAGATGGTAGATCATGGGGCTATTATATCTCCAGCCCCAGTATTCAGTATTTTGACTGGATGTTTCTAAGGCTCTCAAACTTGAAGTCCTCTTGTGATTCAACATTATCTTGACGTTTGGCTCCAGGTAGAAATTCAGTGAAAGTTCAGCTGCCTAGGGTACCTATTGAGGGCTGCTATCCAACTCTCTGTAGTCTCTGGTCTCTCAGGCAAACAGCAGGTGCATTGTAAAGTGTTGTGGGAACCGAGTAGTGGCACACACCTATAATCCCAGCCCTGGGGAGACTGAAGCAAAGATCACAAGTTCAAGCCCAGCTTGGGCGTCTTAGTGATTTATCGAGATCCTGTCTCAAAACTTAAATATAAAAAGGGCTGGGGAAGTAGCTCAATGGTAGAGTATGCCTGGGTTCAATCCCCAGTACCGTAAATAAATAAAGTGTTGGGCCAGGGATTTAGCTCAGTGGTGCCACCACCTGCCTCAAAAGCTCAAGGTCCTGAGTTCGATCCCCAGTACCAAAATAAACAAACAAACAAACAAACAAATAAATAAATAAAGTGTCCTGGGACAGAATTTCAAGTTGCAATCAATGTAAATATATCAAGGTAGAGAGGACTAAAGACCTAATGAGTGCCTGGCATGGTGGTGCATGCCTGTGATCCCAAACACTTGGGAAACTGAGATAGGAGGATCACTGGATTTTAAGGCCACACTGTGCTACATAATGAGTTCAAGGCCAACCTGAACTACGTAGTGAGACCTGGTCTCAGAAAAGAAAAAAAAAATAATGACTCTTGTCCTGAAGGTCACAGGAAGCAACAAACTAAGGAAGGAAAGGGAGAGGAAATTTGGCCAGCTCAGATAGCGAAAGAACTGCCAAGCGCTGCAAGTTTCTGCCGCCCAGAAAGCACAGCCAGGGAAAGTCAGGGCTTGTTTATGTCCCTTGCCATTGCCACTGTGGCCCGTGATTGCAGATGCCACACTAAGAGACTGACCATCAGGGTTATCTGCACGGGGAGGTGGACCAGGTTCACAGAGAACATTCAGCAGGCCATAGCAGGCGCTGCACTTTACATCGGAGCATCGCTGCCTCCGTGGCCTGGACCCTCAGCAGCACCCTCAACTCTTCTACTTAGTGTTAGGCTTCTTAGCTGACCAGGCCCCCACTCGGGCAGGCACCCATTCTGCTGCCTCCCAGCCCGTCACTCCTTTTCACCTCTGTTCACAGGCATCAGAGATGTTATCTTTAATCCCTGGTTTAATTAGAGGACAGAAGTGAGGTTGTGGTTTGCCCAAGATGCTGACCCGGCACAAAGCTCTTTGCCAACATATTCTTCTCCAACTCACCAGAATCTGCTTTCTTTCTAGGTCCATGGCAAGACCTCATTTTTAAAGTCCTACAGTGTTTACTGTCAAAAAATCTACCATCTCCAGCCGCTTAGCCTGTGCAAAACCCTGAGTTCAATCCCCAGCACACACACACACACACACACACACACACACAGGGACACGCACACACACATCCAAAGCAAAACCCCCTCCACACCTCATATGTACTCTCTGGTATGGCTCACTGCTGCTTTCTGTGGCTGGGTGACTCCCAGCTCAATGCTAAATCCCCTGAACAGAGTGCCTAGTCTTATACACTTGGGCTTCTCCAATTTCAGTTTTTATTTATTTGTTTGTTTGTTTGTTTGTTTTCTGGTACCAGGGATCAAACTCAGGACCTTGTGCTTTTGAGGCAGGTGGCAGAACCACTGAGCTAAATCCCTGGCCCAACTTTAGTTTTTATTTTGTTTGCTTTCTCTTTCTTTTTTTCCTTTTGAGACAGGGTTTCGCTATGTGTTTCAGGCTGGCCTTGAACTCACTATGTAGCCCAGGCTGGCCTTGAACTAGTGGCAATCCTCCTGCCTCAGCCTCCTGAGTGCTGGGATTACAGGCATTGCCCAAACTTCTGGCTGACTTCTCAAACTTTAATGTGCACCTGAGTGACTTGGGGATCTTGTTCAAGTGCAGATTCTGATTGCAAAATTCTGGGGAGGAGCCTGAAAAGTGCATCTCTAGCAAATTCCTCACCCCACACAGCATTTATTTTAATGACTGATTGCAGTTCCTCCTTAGAAACCTTGCAGGAGTTTGATGTTGTCCATTAAATGCTGCAATCCTCTACGTAGCGTATCGTATCAAGTGAGAGAGGAGTTTGATATAGGCGGGCAGGGCAGTGTGGCAGGTTAAAGGGTGGGCTCTGAGCCTTTCAAAATAAAAAGCTGACATTTATCCAGTACTCACTTGGTGTTGAGCACTAGGATAAGCACTTTATATATATTACTGGATTTGATCTTTCGGAGGAAAAATATGAAGTAAAAATAAACCCTCATTACATTATAGTTGTGTCTTCACAAAATAAGTATCAGTTTCTTAAGTGATTTCTCTTTTGGTAAGACTGCTGAGCTTCTATAGATTCTGAATAAAATGGTCCTCTAAGAAAAGTTTAGTAGTCAGGCATGGTGACCCATCCCTATAATCCCAGCACTAGGGAGGTAGGTAGAGGCAGGATAATTGCTTCAAGTTTGAGGCCAGCCTGTGCTACATAGTGAGACGCTGTCTCAAAAACAAAAACAAAAACAAAACAGAGCAGGGCCAGGGATTTAGCTCAGTGGTTCCACCGCCTGCCTCACAAGCGAAAGGTCCCAGGTTCGATCCCCGGTATCAAAAAAAGCTTTTTTGTGTAGCTCAGTGGTAGAGAGCTTGCCTAACATGTATGAACCCTGAGTTCTTCCTCTGGCACTGAAAAAAAGAAAAAGCTTAGTAAGTCTCCTGCTAGGGTTTTTGTTATGAGCTGATAGTTTAAAAATTATGACTGCTTTTTCACAATAACTAATTTTATGCCTTCTATAACTATGGAAAATGGTCAAACATTGAAAATCAACTAGAAAACAAAGTGTTTAACTTGCATAACTTAGAGAAGTGAATTATGAATTTACTAACATAAAATTATAATTCTTACTTACTCTCTTGGTTTAGGAGCTCATGAATCATAAGTTTGGCCAAAATAGCAGGGCATGGTGGTGCAAATCTGTAATCCCAGCGCTCAGGAAACTGAGGCAAGAGGGTCAGCGCAAGTTCAAGACCAACTTGGGCTATGTAATGAGTTCAAGGCCAGCTTGGACTACATAGTGAGACTCTACCTCAAAAAAAATAGAACCAAAACCAACCCTCCCACCCCCACAAAACAAAACACAAAATTTGATTTAGTTTCAAAAGGAAAACTTATATTTCTGATCAACTTTTGTCTTATTTATTTATTTATTTATTTATTTATTTATTTATTGGTAATGGGGCTCGAACTTGGGACCTTGCTCTTGTGTGGCAGGCGGTGGAACCACTGAGCTAAATCCTCGGCCCTCAACTTTTGTCTTAAGAGGAATGTGCACATATGTATGGAAGTGTGTATGAATATATATATGTTCACAATGAAACACTGATTGAAGTGCTGTTCTTATCCCTCTTTAAAGGTGCAGCTTCATCTGCTTAAGTGAATCACACCTGCACTGCTACTACAGGCTGACCCAGGATATAAATCCAATTTGGTCTGTTTCTAAAGCAATTATTAGATTTTAAACATGTATTTTATTTTATTTTATTTATTTATTTATTTGGTACCAGGGATCAAACTCGGGTCCTTGCACTTGTGTAGCAAGCGGTGAAACCACTGAGCTAAATTCCCGGCCCTAAACATGTATTTTAAAAATTAGAAACCTACAGAATAGTTTCAAGAATGCTACAATGAACATCAGTATACCATACATCTAGATTAACTGCTTGACATTTTTGACACTGTCAAATTCCCCCCATCCCCAATGTGGAGTTTTGCTATGTTCTCCAGGCTGGACTCAAACTCTGGGCTGAGGGGATCCTCCCTGCCTCAGGCTCCCAAGTACTGGGACTATAGGCTTGCCACTGCATGGGCTCTAAGCTGACCCCTTTCTTTTTCCTCTCCTTCTTTCTTCTCCTTCTTTTCCTCCTCCTCTTTTTTTCTGGTGTTGGGGTTGAACCCAAGGTCTCATGCGTACTAGCAAAGGACTTTTTATTTAGGGACAGTATTTTCTTAGGTTGTCCAGACTGGCCTTGAAATTGCAGTCCTCTTGCCTCAACCTCCCAAGTGCTGGGATTGTAGGTGTGTACCACCACACCTGATTTAAGCATATAACTTTGAATATTAATAAACTGCTATGTTACCTAGTAGTAGTTGCTGTCCAAGGAAGTATGATCTGTGTTTCTTTAGTTTCAATAACCTTTTGTTTCTAATTAAGAAATTGGATGAAGACGTGCATCAAAAAATTGCCAAGGAAATGAACCTCTCTGAAACTGCTTTTATTCGAAAACTGCACCCAACAGACAACTTTACACAAAGTAAATATGCATTTTTTTTAACCCAGTCTTGAATGGCACTAGAAATTATCTTTTAGGTGGGGGAATAATATTTAAGGCAAATGCTCCTTTATAATTTGCATGCAGGTGGTGGGGACCATGGGTTTCAGTTCATCTGGGCAAGAGGGTGTGTGGTGGTTTAGATGTGTCCCCCCAAATCCATGTATTGGAAACTTAATCCCAATGCACAGAGTTGGCAGGTGGGGCCTGATGAGAGGCGATGGATTCAGTCATTATTCCGGAAGTGAGTTGGTTAGCTCGAGAGTAGGCTTCTTATAGAAGCGAGTTCAGCCCCCTCTTGCTCATCTTGCTCACCTGCCCTCCTCTTCCTCTTCTTTTTTTTTGAGACAGAGTCTCAGTACAGATTCTAGGCTGGCCTCAAACTCATAGTGATCCTCCTGCTTCAGCCCCCCAAGTGCTGGGATTACAGGCCTGTGTCACCACACCTGGCTAAATTTCTGTTCTTCATGAATTACCCAGTTTATAGTATGCTTTTATTGCCATATAAAATGGACTTCAAGGGTTGTTGATGACCTGAATATTTCAGCTCCAGATCTAATGCCAGGTGCCTTGGGATGCTTGTCTAGCCTGTGTGCATCCTTTCTTGTCACATTTTGCTGCTAATCATGCTATGGAAATACAGTATTTAGGGAAGAAGAGGAAAATGGAGCGTTGCAGGCTGCCCGCAGGGGATTGACCTTGTCTTTGGCTTTTCCCTCTGAAGGTTCCTGCTTCAGACTGAGGTGGTTCACACCAGCAAGTGAGGTCCCACTCTGTGGCCACGCCACCCTGGCTTCTGCAGCTGTGCTGTTTTACAAAACAAGTAATATGAATTTCTTTAACAAACCCATCACTTACCAATAGCAAATATTACAAAATTCTAATTTGCTCTTTAAATTTTTTTTAATTTAAAGTTTTATTAGTACATGATTTCAGTACTTAATGATGGCATTTGTTGTGGTGAGTTGGCCCATATACTTAACACATCTTAATTCTTTTTACTTCCCTTTCCCCTTCCCTCCCTCTCCATCTGTTAATGGACATATAGGCCACTTCCAGTATTTAGCTATTTTGAGTTGTGCTGCTGTAAACATGAGTATGCATGGATCACTGTAATGTGATGTCTAGAACTCTTTTGGAAAGACACCTAGAAGGGGACTAGCTGGGTCACATGGAATTTCTAGTTTTAGTTTTTTGAGGAATCTCCACACTGATTTCCTTAGTGGTTGTACTAGTTTATTCTCCCTCAAACAGTGTAGAAGGGCTGCTTTATCCCCCACAGCCTTGCCAGAACATGTTATTATTTGATTTCTTGATAACAGTAATTCTTTGAAGGTATTTTACAGAAATATGATGGGAGAGTAAAGGATTAGTTTATAAATTATTGTTTTCACTAAAAATGTTACACACACTGAGGTCAGATAAACTGTCAAAGGTGTATCAGTTACATGGAAGGATATTAGATCAGTCTGTGTGGAATTTAAATCAAATTCTTTTGTGTAACTTGGTTCACTCAGGAGAAACCTGACTTGTTTCACATAAGACTTGTTCACAAATCATGAGTGTCGTCACCCCCGGGAATGTCTTGAACTAATAGAGTTTGTAACTCTATGGTTATTGTTGGTAGATATTTATTTATTTATTTATTTATTGGTACCAGGGATCGAACTCGAGTCCTTCTGCTTTCGAGGCAAGCAGAGGAACCACTGAGCTAAATCCCCGGTCCTCTAAGTAGATTTTTAAATATCTACCAACAAGAGCCAGGGATAGCTCAGTGGCTACCAAAAAAAAAAAAAAAGTAATAATAATCTGCTTAGAAAACATGGTAACAGTTGTACAAAGTAAGTTTAATTAACAACCTCATTTTTTTTTTTCTTGATACCCGAGATCCAACTCGGGTCCTTGAGCTTGCGCAGCAGGCGGTGAAACCACTGAGCTAAATCCCAGGCCAAACAACCCCATTTTATAGATGAGAAAAGTGAGGTGAGAGGGGGCTAAGTAATGTGCTGAAGGCATAGTTAGTAAGCACTGGGAGCAGAGGTAGAAAGCATTCTAGTGCGGCACCAAGTCCGATTAGTTGTGTTCTTAGTCCCCAGGTTAGAATCCAGTGAGGGTTTTTTCCACTTTAGACTCCAGCGACCCAAAGCAAGGTCCCCCTCACAAGAGAAGACAGCACTGTCAGGAAATCTCAAGAAAACAGACAGGCACACATGTCACAGAGTTTACCTTCATTTTCTGGACAGAAAACATGAACAGCACCCTCACCTTTGTTACTCTGAGTGGGGAACTAAAGGCCAGAAGAGCCGAAGATGGGATCATCTTGGACCTGCCTCTCTACCCAACCCAGCCCAAGGTCAGCTTTCTAGTTATTGCCCCACCGTGTGCAACCAACCACTTGCCTATTTTACAATGATTTTGCCTTTTTCCCCTTCTAGGAATTCCATGAAGTGAAAAACTTGATAAAGGTTGGTGAAAAGACTCAAATCTGAGCCTGTGGGATTTGGTCATTTCTTATTATTTGAACACAAAGGTTTGGTTTGTTGTGATTTGAACTCCAAAGATAGGCCTTCTACCAGTAGCAATGTTTCAGCAGAAGCCTGGATGAACACTGCCCATTGATTTCAGGTTTGAATTTTAATATTCAGTCTATTTGGTGAGAAGATTGACTGCTTTTCCTTAATGTTTGTCAGCATTAGGGCTGGGGTCATGGGTCAGTGAGGAGAATTCTAGTGTGGGTGTGAGGCCCTGGGGTCCATCGCCAGCATCACAAAGAAAAACAAGGTCAGTGTTAGCCTCCTCAGTGATTTGGGGGAAGAGAGGCCGCTGAGGGAGGAAGACCGGAAAGAGGTGGTAAGGAAGAGAGAGCAGCACGTCTTAGGAGAGGCAGTCTCCGGGAGCAGACCAGCCTTCAGACAGTGCAGGGGTGCTGATCTTCCGTCCATGTCTAGCTAGCAGGAGAGACATGGGCCCCAGGCTCGGCCATGCAGGTTCAGAGAGAAGAGTTGGGGATTTCTGGCAGAAAAGCTCATTCCATGAAATTCATACAAAGTGGAGAAAAGAATGGGGACTGCCTGGCAGCCTTGGGTGTCCCCAGTTTCTGTGGCAGAGCATGGGACAGAGATGGGAGAGTTATGGTTTGATAGCAGAGACCAGGAAAGCCTGAGTACCTCCTGGAGAAGATGAGATGCCTAGCCTGGCCTCCTCTTGGGGCCTATGTAGATGTAGATATCAGCCTTAATAGTAGTGATAATAAGCCTAGGTGTGGTGGCACACACCTGTGATCCCAGCACTTGGGAGGCTGAGGCAGGAGGATCACCTCAAATTCAAGGCCAGCTTGGGCTTCATAATGAGTTTGAGGCCAGCTTGAACTACATAGTGAGACCCTGTCTCAAAAAAAGAAGTTATAATAATAGAGAACATTTTTGAGAGTCTCTGTCCAGTAGCATGTCACTTGCGTTATCCCATTTAGTTCTCAGCATCACCCAGTGAGGCAGGCACAGCATTGTCCCATGCAGGGCCTGGAGAACAGAGCAGCCCCAGATGCCCAGGTGCTCAGTGTGCAGAGAAGGAAGGACCCAGGGCAAGGGGTGTGAGGAGAAAAAAGCACTTCTGTAAAATGGTCTCTTGTGGGTCCGTGGAGTTTCTCAGTAATTTTCAACTGCAGTATTTGCAATATCTTTAGCACTTTGCTTTTTCTACATTTTCAAAGAGCATAAATGAGCATCCTGGATTCTGATTTTATAGCCAGCTCCACTCATGACTTGAGTTTCAGAGCCAAATTTGTGAACAAACTTTAGGCATGTTGGTAAGAACATGGAGAATATTAGTAACCGAGGACCTTGTTTGTGACAGAGAGAGCTTAACCTACTCTCTCCAAGCTTCAGGGTCAGCATTTGCAAAATGACATAATAAAGGTTTATTTATCACTCTTGTCATGTTTTCTTGTTCCCTAGAGACTGGCATTAAGATTTCCAGCTGAGGGCCGGGGATTTAGCTCAGTGGTTTCGTTGCCTGCTGCGCAAGCGCAAGGACCCGAGTTCGATCCCTGGTACCAAAAAAAAAAGATTTCCAGCTGAGAAATAAACTTTCCAAGTCACTTGTGGACCCACACAGAGAGGGAGGACCAGAGACTGAAAGTCCCCAGAGAGCAGATAGGATGTGGCTGTGGGAATCTCCAGACCTCAGAGAGGGACACTGGCTAGCTCATGGCCACAGAGGCAGGAAGGCCGCATTCCACCCAAAGCAGAGGGAGTGCAGGCCATGGGGATTTATGCACTTCTGCCTCCACGGGGCCGGAGAACCTGAAGTCACTTCATGAAGGTGGTATAGCCACCTTGTCATCTTCTCCACCTGGCCACTGGGGTGGTGCCGGAGGATGACATGGAGGGAGGAGTTTGTCCCTTGTGGTCTCTCTTAGCACCCAAGCTATAAACAAACAAACAAACAACTTGGGTTTATTTTGAGAAAATGTTGTGTCATTGATCTGTAACTCACAATCTAAGTAAAAGTGGTGTGCTTGCCCTTTGTGCTGCTTCCTATCACACTGCCAGTCCTGAGTCCCAGCAGGTGGAATGTTCTAGAAGCTGCTGCAGTTTCTCCACATGTATTTTGTCCCGTGTTCCTCACAGTGACTCTAAGAGGTGGGCATAAGGCCCCTATCCACGGAGACAGTTAACAGTAGGGATTTCAAGCTTTGACTCTAGGTGTGTTGAAGGCTCCTTTGGTAGCCAGGAAACCGGACATCCTGGAGCAAACCCACATCCCTGAACTTGAACTGGGGCCTGCAGATGATGGTGAGGGGCTGCTCTGAAGGTGCTCAGTGAGAGGTCCTCCCCTGTTTGAGGGGCTTGAGGACTTGACCTGGATGTGCTCCTGAAGAGTTTTTATTCTGTGTCCACAGTCAGCCATAGGCGACACGCTGGTCCAGGATGTCTGCTATTCTCCAGATACTCAAAACCTCCTTGTCCGGCTCAGTGATTCTTACGACAGGTAAACACTATTCTCTGCCCTGTCAGCATTTCGGGAAGACTGAGCCCTTCCTTGGTCTTGGCCTCTCTTGTTTTTGGCAGTCAAAGAATAACACAGGCAGTGGAGGTTCTTTCCCACGAGGAAGATGGTGTGGCTGCTTCTCCCTCTCCTCTCGCTGAGTTGTCCGGGCAACATGGCCCCAGCTGCTTCACACTGTGTGTCTGGAAATCTGTGAAATGGTTTGTCTTGATCGGTCCTCTTTATGAACCAGGTCATTTCTGGAGACCCTGAAAGTGAACACGGCGAATCTGACACAAGTGGAGAACACAGGGAAGGTGAAAGGACTCATTCTCACCCTCAAAGGAGAGCCTGCTGGGCAGACCCAAGCATTTGACTTCTACTCCAGATATTTTGCACCATGGGTCGGTGTGGCGGAAGACCCTGTAACAGGTACCTTTTCCTTGGGTCCAGGGAAGGTTAAGCATGGAAGAGAAGGTTAATGATCAGCTGTGTATGTGTTCTTCATGTGACCTTTCAGGATGCTTGTTTTTGCCTATTGTTTTGTTTTGAGACAGGGTCTCACTATGTAGTTCAGGCTGGCCTTGAACTCATGGTGATCCTCCTGCCTCAGCCTCCTGAGTGGGATTACAGGCATGTGCCCCCATGCCCATCAGAGATTGCTTGGGTTTGGAGCTGCTTTTGCTTCACTATATCTCCCCTTCCTCCTCCATCCTTCCCCTGAAGTCTCATGTGAAAAGCACGGAATAAAGGAGGCATGATAGACAGGTCAAACCTTGGCACCAGACAGTTTGGATTTGCATTCCTAGTTTTTCTACTTCTCAACCTTGGGCAAGTGACAAGCATTTAAAGCCTCACTTCCCTTCCCTACAAATGTAGATGGTACCTCACAGAGTGACATAAACACAATGCATGTTAAGTGCTCATACAGTGCCTGGCACATGGTAAGTAACAGTCCAATAACTGTCAGTTGGTTTAAAAACCAGGCAGCACTTCCAAAGCTTCCACCAGCTGGAAGCAGAGGGATGACTCCACAGAGGGGCAGGACTATCATGCCTCTATTTTCATTCTCTTTGAAAACTCTGGGCTGGGCTTGGGGTCACACGCCTCTAATCCCAGCTGCTTGGGAGGGTGAGGCAGGAGCATGACAAGTTCAAGGCCAGCCTGGGCAATTTAGTGAGACTGTCTCAAAATAAAAAAGGGCAGGGTATAGTTCAGTGGAGGAGCATTGCCTAGCATGTGTGAGGCAGTGGGTCCCATCCCCAGCACAGCAGAGAGAAGGCGGGGGTGGGGTGGGGGTGGAGAATGCTTAGTGTGGAAGGCTGCTGGTGGGATGGGGTCCAGGCAGGAGGAGGCTGGGCAGAGGATCTGTGGCTCTGATCTGGTCAGATGGCAGGGGCCAGGATGGCTCACTTACCCTCTGAGGGACAAAACACATGAAACTCAAAGCTCAGCAAACAAGCACTTTTAAGGACTCAGGAAAATGCCCACCAACATTCAGACACCGACTCAGCCTCTCCCCATGGAAGAGACGTCCTGTGCAGACTTGCACACGCACAGCTGCTGCCCAGAGATTTTAACTGGCACAGAATGTGAGGGATTTTTCTTCCTATAATGTTCTTTTTTAGAGTGTGGAGGTCTTTGGACCATGATGACCCAAGCCTTCTAGGTTTGCTAAGGACTGAGGGGTTTTGGGGATTTTCATTGTTAATACCAGACTAGACTGGTAGGCAAATCAAGATGGTTGTTCTGACCCACTTGGACATCTCACAAAATTTAATACATTTTTCTGAGTAGGAGGTTTTATTTCTTATCCTTTTCTCTCCCAAAGACCTTTCTGTCAGTTATAACTTTAAGTTTCCTTTTTTTTTTTTTTTAATTTGGTACCAGGAATCAAACTCAGGACCTTTTGCTTGTGAGGCAGGCATGGAACCACTGAGCTAAATCCATGCCCCACCCCCTTTTGAGACAGGGTCTCATAATGTAGTTCAGACTGGCCTTGAACTCACTATGTACCCTAGGCTAGCCTCAAACTCGTGGCAGTCCTCCTGCCTCAGCCTCCTGAGTGCTGGGATTAGAGGCATGCACCACCATGCCCAGCTATACCTTCTTTCCTTCCTTCTCCTCCCTGTACCTTATTCCCTCCCTGCCTCCCTCCCTCCATGTCTCTTTCTCTCTCTTTCCTTCCTTCCTTTCTGCAATACAGCCCTGGGGATTGAACACAGGGCTCACACATGCTAGGCAAGTGCTTTACCACTGAGCTGTGTCCCAGCCCTTTTTTATCTTTTTGAGACAGAATCTCACGACATGGCTGAGGCTGGCCTTGAACTCAGTATGAGCCCAGGCTGGCTTCAAACTCATGATTTTTCCCACTTCAGCCTCCTGAGTGCTGGGATTACAGGTGTTCACTACCACAACAGACAGTACCATAAATTTAGATCAGAGATTAGATATGAGACTGAAGAAATGAAACCAGATGTGGTGACCTCAGCCCTCAGTGGCTGATGCAGGAGGACTGAAAGTTTGAAACTTTCAGTTTTTCGAAACAGCCTGGACTACATAGCAAGTTTAAGGTCAGCCTCAGCCATACAGCGAGAACCTGTTTCCAAGACATAAGTAAATGAATAAACCTAGGGTACAATCATGTGAAGGAAATACCTGACTAAAAAGGAACTTCTTTCAGTTCTCAAAGCCTGGGAATGTTGGCTGGGTAGAAGAGGCAATCATTGTCAGAGTTCTTAGCTTTCCTTGCATATATCCCCTAGGAGGAAGGACACACTTTCCCCAGAAAGATGTAGGAAGATTTTTGTGAAGCCTTTGATCTCCTTAATAGGAGCTGACAGTGAACTGGTAGACAGGAATTAAAATGTGCAGTCTAATTCAGCCTTCAGAACCAGAAAGACGGGGCCAGGGATTTAGCTCAGTGGCATAATGCCTGCCTGGCAAGCTCGAGGTCCTGAATTTGGTCCCCAGGTACAAAAAAATAGAAAGACATAGTAGATACATCATTTGAGGAATTTATTCATAAGTTAATTCATTCTTCCCTACCTCCCTCTTGTTTTCCCTCTCTCTCTCTCTCTCTCTCTCTCTCTCTCTCTCTCTCTCTATCTCTTTTTCTCCTTCTATCTTTTTTCCTCTGGTACTGGGGATTGAACCCATGATCTTTGAATTGAGCTGCATCCCAGTCACCCTCACTCTTGTGACAGGGTCCAGATAAATCACTAAGTTTCCAGACTGGGCTCAAACTTGCTATCTTCCTGTCTCAGCCTCCCAGAGTGCTGGAGTTGCACCTGGATCTGTGTCTTTTCTAATTTCTTGCATAATTCCACACATCGCTGGACATAAAGATCAAATGATATAAGGTTAGTCAAGCTGGATAAATGATTGCGATTTCTAAGAACCTACTTCACAGGTGCCTGTTCTTTCTGGGGTCGGCAGTAACTGTCCTATCTTTCAGGGTCTGCACACACTGTTCTCAGCAGCTACTGGTCCCAGCAACTGGGGAAGAAAAACATGCATGGTAAGTCTGCCCTTTTCCAATATCTGTTTTTGTTTTTTTTTTGGTACAGGGAATCGAACTCAGGGCCTGGTGCCTGCCAGGCAGGCACTGCACTGCTAAGCTATATCCCTGGCCCTTCCAATTTCTGTTTATTTGGCTAACATTAAACTGGTGTCTTTCTCATAGGTACTCTCCCCTTGAAAATGTAGTAAAATATTATGTGTCACTCATCAGAACTACCCCTTTAGGACCCTTAAATATCCACCCTAAATATCCTCCACCCCAAGACTCCTCTGCCTCAGCCTCCCCCAACAGATACTTGGGCTGTAGTCAGGGTTCAGTTAGACTCTGGTGGATGGAATCAGCTTACTATATGTCTTTGGCCCAGAGGAGTTATTGATAATGTGATAAATAGATGATCATTAAGGCTCATTTATACGGCTGTCAATATTACAGGATTGAGTCAAATAACTTTCAGACCAAGTCCCCTAAGGATGAGTACAGCGTTCAGGAAGAGAGACTGTGGCCAACAAAGGCTGCACTGCTCTGGCCTCAGAGCAGGACTGCGCCCCCATAGGCTAGAGCGCTGCCTTCCCAGGAGCCTTGGGGTCTGGGACCCTGATGTGGAAGTGGCAAGGAGGCTGACTTCTTTCCTTGATGAGTCTGATTCCTCTCCTCAGTGCTGAGCTCCAGATCTGTCTGCCCAGCCTGTGTGGTTGCTTGAAAGCAGGGGTGATTGAAAAATACAGTGAATGCTTAAATTTTTTGTTTGTTTGTTTGTTTGTTTGTTTTTGGTACCAGGGATCGAACTCTGGTCCTTGCGCTTGCAGGGCAGGCGGCAGAACCACTGAGCTAAATCCCCAGCCCTGAATGCTTAAATTTAAAAAATTATTTACAGTAAAAGACACATTGCAATTAACCCCCTCAAAATACTGCCTCTTGCTTTGAACACACATATCCCATTGTTCTTTCTGAAGCAGCTCTGGAAGTCCTCTTTCTTGTCTTCTGAGGTGTGTTGAAAATTATGGTGAATGCTGCTGCCGAGTGCCATCCAACAGAAAGGCAGGCTGGTAAAGACATTAGACTGTGTCTTCATTCACCGTATTCACCAGATCTGGCACTGTGTGCCTTCTGGCTCTTCTCCAAAGTCAAAATGACCATGAAAGGTAAACGTTTTGAATCAATTCAGAATGTCAAGGCAGCCACAATAGTGTAACTAAAGACACTCATGAATGAAGACTTCCAGAAGTGCTTCAGAAAGTGGCATGAACAGTAGGATAAGTGTTCAGAGCACTGGGGAGTATTTTGAGGGGGGATTAATGGCAATGTGTCTTTTATTGTAATAAAACTTAAACACATGCTATTTTTTTTTTATCACACTTCGTATGTTATGAATAACCCAACCCCCTCTGTCATATTCAGAGCTGAGATGATGAGGCCTTCTACGGAGGGCTAGGACCACCTCTCCTGCTCTTCTGAGACTTCTGGTCCATGCCTGTACCTTTCCCACATCTTGGTTTCTCCTGGAGGAAGCTGTAGGTAGGAAGTAGCTAGGGTTTTACAGGATGTAGTAGGGGAAGTGATAAAGAAAAGGTTCAAGAGGGGAAGAGGTAAGCCTGTGTGATCTATAATCTGCGTTTGTGGTCCTGTGGACAGATGAAGGAATTTATTCTTTAAAGTGACTTGGATTTTGGCAGATGCCCCAAATCCCAGCACCGGGAGACTGAGACAGGAGGATCACTGTGAGTTTGAGGCCACAATGAATTCAAACCACCCAGAACTACACAGTGAGACCTTGTCTCAAAAAAAAATGAAAGAAAGAATGAGAGACCTGGGAGGGCTGCAGGGTTGGTGATAAAAAGTCTTTCACTATGTTCTGTTAATTAGAGGGTGAATGTGCTCCTAATTTGCAGTTTCTTTTATGTTTTCTTCAGCATTTCAGTGTTCCCCTCGAGGAGGAGAACTGGACATTTCCCTGCGCCCTGATGGACGCATGGACATCAAGGGCAGCGCTGTTGTGGTTGTGGAAGGGACACTGACAGCCTAGGGATGTTCACACAGGATGCCACTGTCTCCATCCACTCAGTGTTTTCCATGTACCAAGAAACCTAAGGGCCTTCACAGTGGCCTGCTTGCTCCTCATGCCAAACATAGAAAGCCGTGTTAATGAGGTTTAATCACCTGTCCAGGCTAATTAACTAATGCAATTTTGGCCCCACCCACAAGTGTACTTGACTTTTTATTTTTCTGGTGCTGGGGCTTGAACCCAGGGCCTTGGCCATACGAGGCAAGTACTCTGTGGCTGAGCCACATCCCCAGCCCTTCCTTGAATGCTTTTGAATGTGAGTAATCAGTAGCAGAGAATACCGCTGTCACTTGATTATGAGGATTATCAGAGATGAGGAATACTACATTTATGAAGAGTGAGGTTTCAACTTAGGTGAGTACTGATAGAATATTTTTGCAATCATCTAAAAGACTCAGTGACTATATGGACATATAGAACATTGTTTCATGATACAATACTAAGAAAAATTGCAGTAAGCTATAAAGTGTTAGCAATGTTCTGCTGTGACTATAGAGAATATGAATTTCTCCAGAAAAACATGAGCCATGAAAATAGTTCATATGTGTGAGATAGGACTGAGAATAATTTTAATGAAGTTAAAATAGTATTTCCCTTATTGTTGCACTCATGTATAACAACTAAAAATTAAGACAAAGCCCAGAAAATTGAACAAATGTGTGTTAGGATATTTCCTGTGATAGTAAAATTAAACACTAAAATGAAGATAGTCTCTTCGGGCCGGGGATTTAGCTCAGTGGTTTCACTGCCTACTACGCAAGTGCAAGGACCCGAGTTCCATCCCAGGTACCAAAAAAAACAAAAAACAAAACACAAAATGAAGATAGTCTCACGCCAGGTGTGGTGGTGCATGCCTGTAATCTCAGCACTTAGGAGACTGAGGCAGGAGGATGGCTGTAAGTTGAAGGCCAACCTGGGCTACATAGAGAGACCCTGTTTCAAAAATAAATAAATAAATAAATAAATGAATATAGTCTCAGTCTTTTTCTTTTGATATGTGGCCTTAAAATGCTAACTCAAAGGGGATTCTCTTCAGCTGGGAATGGTGGTGTACATCTGTTATCCTAGCACTCTGGGAGGCTGAGACAGAAGGATCATAAGCCAGAGTCCAGAGCAGGCAAATTAGCAATTTACCACGATCCCTTCTCAAAAAATAAAAGGCGGAAGAGGCCAAGCAGAGCGCCCTCAGGCCCGCGGCGCGGCGGGAGCTTCCGCGCTTCTGCTCCTCCCCGGCCGTAGAGACGTGGGCGCCCGGGCCTCAGGGCCTCCCCATCATCGCCGCCGGCCCAGCCAGACGGAACATCGTGTGGACCGCGGCCGGCCGAGCCGCCGCCGCCCCCGCCTCCCGAGAGCGCGCCCCCCAAGCCCGCGGCCTCGGCCAGCGGCGAGAGCTCCGCCTGTAACAGTGGTGGCCCAGACAGAACCGGACCCGCGGACACCGAGGCGGAGATGTAGAAGACAGAAGTAGCTCAGGGTCCCGGGGGAATGGCGGACATCCAAGCTCATCCAGGAACTATGGAGATGGCACTCCCTATGTCCACATGACCAGCAGGGACCTTGGGTCACATGACAATCTCTCTACCTTTTGTCAATTCCAGAATACAAATTAAGACAAATTTTACATTAACTTGCACTCTGAGTGTTTATGTTTAACCATGGAAGGAGAGATTGCCTCAAAGCAAGCTTCGGTGTTTAGGAACTTGGATATTTAGCCAGTTTACTATAGAAATCTTAAGTTGCAGAAAAATTTAACAATCTATGTTTGCTAAAAGCATATAAATGACTGAGTTTTACAGTTATGTGGAATTAATTTACGTAATTCCGAATCTCTGTGGAAATGTCGACTTCCTTAGACAAAGCAGTTATCCCAATGACAGTGTTGCAATGGTAATTTTCTTGGACAAGATTGAGGGAGTCAAAGTGGTGAATATTTAGAATAATATCATCATTGAGCTTGTTGGTTGGCAAGGAGATAAAGTGTTAGCTGTGAGTTTTTATTTTTGGAGTTATGGAAATAAAATACTATCAGAGGGTTTAGTTTGCTTAAATCAGAGTAGTGCATAAACTAAGACTGAAGTGGATTAAAGATCTAAATATTAAAACAAACAATAAACTTGGTGGAAGATAAGTTAGGTAGAACTCTTGAAGACATTGGCATAGGAAAAGACTTTATGAACAAAACCTCAATAGCATGGGAACTAGCACAAAGAATCAACAACTGG